CTATCGTCTATTAAATTTTCCCGATTAAAATCTGAAACACCCTGTATAGTTTTATTAGGAGTAAAAATGATACTTTTTAGTATAAATACATCTTTATTAAAACATTTTATTAAAACATTAATTACCTTCATAATAAAAACACTTAACTTTTTGTACCATGCATTTAAATTAAACTTATAACAATAATACACTATACAACAATTTATATTAAAAATGGTTTAAACTAAGCTATTATTTTACCAAAAACATATGCATTTCTTTAAAATATTAAATCCTATTTTTAAACATTACTCGTCGAGAAAGGTCTTCAAGGTAACTATTATTAAATTTGATAAAACAAAGACGGCTAGACCAAGAGAACAGAATTTGCCTTTTACTTCTTAATAGTATCCCATAACTCTCTAGACAAACCGCCATAATTTTATATTAGAGGTTTTAGTATAAAGCTAAAACAAGGAGTTGTTTCGCAGAACTTATAAGTTCTGCAGGTTAATATTTTAAATTAAAATAGAAAATATACAGTTTTAAAAGATAAAGCGTCACAACAAAAGTGTGTTATATTTTAGGCTAAATATGTTTCCTTAAATATATAAAATATTATGACATACATTATGACCTGGTGGTTTTTAATAAATAAATATATTTTACTTCAATATCCGTAATCATTGACCTAAACCACGTTAATTTTCAAACATCCGACATCTTCTATGATAAATCCTCTACCCCATCCCTCTTTCAAACATTTCCAAGTACCCATTATTGAAATTTATGTGCGCTTTCTTCCTGCAAAATTGCCGTGTTTGCGAAACCGAACGTGGAAAAATAAAACCAACATGTAAACCGCAAGTTCTTTAAATACTTGGACGTTTAAATGTCGAAAACAGACCATCTAGAACTCGCCGATTTAAGTCTATTTATCTAGGGACTTGGCACGGACGCGACCAAAGTTTACTCGAGTTTGCACCACCTTGGAGAACTCCCAGAGTCGATTCTGGAATAGTTTCCAGGTTTTCGGGCGCCGCTTGCAACCTACGGTGATATCGCGGTGTTTTCCTTGGTCATTTATAGAACGGAAATCTATCAATGTAAACATCAGTCCCGATTTAAAGTAAATAATCCGACAGGATTCTTATTCGAAATAGAAAATATCGATTGATTTGTTGGAGTTAAACCGATTGAAATGATTTGGAGCAGTGTTTTATATACAGATAATCAAAACAAAAAAGTCATTCTTAATTTGAAGTTTCACATATTTAAACAGAACGTCAAAATCGTAGATAAAAGAAAATAATCTTCTATTAAGATAGATATGAAACTAATAGTAAAATTTTGGGTCAAAGCGCCCCTCCGTGTTCTTAGAGACTACGTTTAACCCAGCGCCTTCGCCTTTTCTGCTGTAAATATTTTTTATGTTTATATTTGATTTCAAAGGATTTATTTTTAAAGTTACACTGAGATATTAGTATATCAGAGTAACTTTAATAAAACATAAGAATATATCGACGGCATCACGACAAAAGGGCGTAAGCGCCATTCGTCATTTTTTTCAGGAGACGAAAAAAACGTCTAAAATCTATATTTTTTATTTTTTGTAAATTATTTTTTGCTACAGTATTATAGATTATATGGTACATTTTTCAAAAATTTTTTGCTTATAAAATATTAAACTGTTAATTAGTTATTTTAATATTTGGCGCTTACGCCTTTCTTTCTAGGCTCGATTGGCGTTTACGTCTTTTTGAAAGGCGTTTAAGACTTTTGTGTCTTATTATTCTAGTCATTTTTTGTCGTTTAGGTGCACTTACGCCTTTTGAGTTTTACAAATAAAATTAAAAATGTCGCTTGGATTTTAAATTTTTTTTAAGAAAACACAGTACAAAATACTCAAACTGATACTTTCAATATTTTCAAACTCATTAGGCTTGAAATAATAACTGGAAAATTAAATTTAACTAATATTCTGAGCAAAACACGGGTAAACTTGATCCGTATTCCTCGTTGGTGGCAAAGGGTGGTGCTTCTAACATGAATAATTCTGACTCCAACAGCGCATCATGCTGCAATGATTCTGCCAGAAGATCATTATCTATGATATCGCTCTCAACCTCAACCTTTTGATTTCCACATTTTAATGCCAAATCTCTGATTTTCTTCCCGCGGGAAGTCATTATCACACTGTGGAGAAAAAATATAAAAAAGGCTCAAGCGACATAAAAAAAAACAAATTTCAAACAATTATTACAATCAAGAAAATGTCCTTTGACTTGTAGCAAATGTTTTTTTGAAAATTAATATTGTATACAATTTAGATATTTGACAATTTTTTGAAATCTGCTGAACGGTAGTTTTGTTAAAAGTAAAAAAATATGCCATTACGATCACATAGGCGGATGGCGCTTACGCAAACCAAATAAATTAACACGAAAAGGCGTAACCGACAATAACAAATAAATGTCGGTGTTTACTATTTGAATTAGATTGAAGCACAAAAAACAATCTAGGCTACCAAATATGATTAAGACCTATCTTATTAATAAGTTTTTCTACGTACCTTTGAATGGAAAATGGTATTTTTTCATCCCAGGCTTAAGCGACCTTCCAACACGTGTGAATGGCGGTTACTGATTTTCGCGTCGAGTCTGGTTTGAAGGTGTATTGGCGGTTAGAAACTAAAACTGTCTTTTTTCTCACGTTATGAATTTTTGCTGGTTAAGCCGTTTCATAGATAGGTGCGCATTTTTAGTATTACATTTTGGAACCATAATCTCATTTTCGTTATTTTGGCGCTTACGCCCTTTTGTCGTGACGCCGTCGATATATATATATATATATATATATATATATATATATATATATATATATATATATATATATATATATATATATATATATATATATATATATTGTCGCGACCTAGCTGGGGGGTTGTTTGCTAGGTTCGCTATGCCAGGTTCTCTCTCAATCAAAACAACCATTGAACAAAATATACATTTATTCAACATAAAGTTCACAGTATAATACAAGTTTGGGGAATGCCAAGACTTAATGGTTTAGTTAACTAAGTACTTACAGGAACATCTTCAGTCTGCGCTGTCTTCTGCTAACCGACTGATGACGCGGATTACTAACTGTATAATACGGCTCACATCGATGGACTAACCAACTCCCTCCTCCTGTCTTCAGCACACTATCTTATATTTTTCCGCTCGTCCCAATTATCGGCGGGTACGTGCTCAAAAATCTCCTTTGTATATTTCCAGCACCGATATTTAGTACGAGCTAGCCCTGAAACATCACGCTTACATCGACCTGATTTTAATTGTTTAATTAACAATGTTTATCATAAGAACATATTCAGGTCAACGTATACGCGAACGATTCCCTTGAATCTACATCAAATTGGTTTACTAGAATTATATTTTACATGATTTTTCCCAATTTGATGTAAACCCAAGTTGGCTATATTTAAGTCTTGACATATCCCTGGCTTGGAGAGCTGGTCCCCAGCGATAAAAAAAATCATGTGCTATTAAGCTTAATTAAGATTTTCTTGCGACTCATCAAAATCAAAAAAAAAAATATATATTTTTATCATTTACTCTTTAATCCCGTACAAACAAAAGGTCCTATGCGATACCACCCGTACTGAAAATATGTCTCCTGGCATCCTGGTGCGTTGCGTCCGTTTCAACAATACCATAAGCTTCAAGCTTTAACCCTAGCTCATATCAGTTAAGTAATGCACACGCCAGCACTGCCTTTGCCTTTGTTTGACTGGTTGCCTTCTTATTCATTGTATACTTCTGTTCGTCCGTGCGCTTGGTTTCAATGTCAAACGGGCGACGGCCTTTTGAAATTGCTGGGATCAGCGGAATACTGGACAATTATTTTTTCTTTTCTTCATTAGTGTACTGTTTTCATTCGAGCCAAACAAAATTTACTTGTTAATATTTCTTGGTTTTCTGGCTTCTCTGCGGTATTATGGGTTCAGTGGCTTGTTACTTCAACCAACCAAATTAGTTTTTTCTCCAGGCTGGTTATTGCTTCCATATCCGTATCCAAAAAATTCCATACATCTCCAATCCATTAGAATTCGAGGCAAAAAGGCGAGCGGCGTGTTTAACATTTGCTCAACTGAACAGAGCTTGTGATGCTGGAAAGTTTCATCTCACTGGTGTGGTTGGTACGTGTTTCCAGACAGCAACTCATTTCTTCCTTCGACTTCTTAGTGTTGATTGTGGTATCGGCAGGTGTGATACAAAATTCATGAGAAATTAAAGAGTAAGTACTATATTTTATTCCTATCTTTAATATCTAAAACAGAATAACAATTACGTTAATAAAACTATTCTTCTTAGTTACCTGTGAAATATCTACAGTTTATTTTATCTTAAATATTTTTCGAAAATGCATTTGCTTAAAAAAAATTAAAAATTGATAGTTTTAATTATTTGCTTAGGTTCCTTATATTTATATAAAAAATAAAGATTTAAAATATGACTTTACTTATTACTATTTAATTAGTCCAGCTAAGCACTTTGTATTATTATTTATATTTAAAAATAGCCTCCAACTATTTGTACTTCAGCAAAATTAGAAAAGTAAGTATTTATTATAACGTTTACATTTTCTTTTCATTTAGGACGAAGGAAAAAATAAATATATATGGCGAAATTCATCAAATTCTTTCTTGAAAAGAAAAAATCATTACCTATTTGGCTTTTCTTTATTCCGTCTACTACATTACATGTCCTTTATCATCTAAGTGGTGAAAGAGTGTTTGGGAAAAGTCGCGTGGCTTCTAATAACATGTTTTGTCAACATGGAAACATATACAATAAACAGTCTACAAAACAGAGCAACATACATACATATTGACCAAACGATAGCAGTTTATTTTTCTTTTTTATTACTAACATAAATTATAAATAATATTGTTTCTGACTCGGGAAAAAAAAAATCAAATTCAACTAGTACCTCTAAAACAATCACGGCTTCCTAAAAAATAATGGGCATCCTAGGCCAAAATAGTCACGTGACGTTGATACTAGGAATAAAAATAACAACAAATCAACTAACAAAATATCATCCGAGCAGTTCTTTAAGACCAACATAGCTACACAATCTTTCCCCAGGAGCTGTAAATGTAGTAGGTTTGAGTATACTTTACCTCAGCTTACCTTGAAAGTATTTCTTTCCTTCCTTTTTTTTTATCCTTATTTTTGCTCATTGTTAGAAAACAAATAATATGTCACCTAAAAATACTCAAAAATAGATTAGTTTCTATCAGTCTCTTGTTTTTTTTTTTTTTTTTTTAATAATATAATATAAAAGTAAAAATATTCTTAAATGCTACATTAATTAATCAGTATCCTTTATCGTGGTCCATCGTACTTGGCTTCAAGATTCAAACTTCGACTTTAAATATGACTCATAAGCATCGAGTCCAGGGAGGGTGGCTAGGGTGGATAATGATATCCTTCGCCATCTTGGCGTTGGGGCTTTTGGACATCATATTCATTCTCCTACTTGTGCAAGAAATAGCTTGCTGGGGTCTAAATTCATCACGAGTTTTTTCTCTTGGAACGTTTGTTTTCCGGTCAAAATAGTCAAACTGTCGGTTCCTTAAAGGGTGGCCCAATAGGCGTGTCCTTTTACTTCTTAAATATGTGACTTTATGTGTCGGAGTTATATCTTTCTCTTCTGTGTCGGACGGACAAATTATCGGTATATTTAGGGAGCACTTTTCATATTCAAAACAGGAAGGATCCCATTTATCTTTTTCGTCTTCCTCGACATTGCCAGGGAGGGTATTCCACTCATCCTCAGCCGGCATAACTTCACTTGCAACAGGGAGGGCATCATCTTCCTCTACCTGTGCGAACTCTATTGCTACAGGGAGGGTATCATTCACTTCCTCTGCCTGTGCGTATCCCATTGCCACGGGGAGGGCATCACAATCTTCCTCTATCCGTGCACTTTCTAAATTGAGGGAATCCAAATCGTCCTCTTCACAAATATTCACACTATTCTCCTCTATCTCATGCTCCTTTGACACAATAAATATACCATCCATATCAGCTGTTTGTCTCTCAAACAGGGGTGGGTTTTGTCCAAAAATCCTGCTCTGGTAGTCCTCAACTAAGGGTGGGTTTTGTTCGAAACTCTTTGTCCGGTTATCTTCAATCAACTTTTGTTGTCTTCTCTCATAATTCGTATTAAAATTATATTCGTCTGTATTGTTATACCTATAGCTAGCATTAACTGTTTTATACTGATTATGATAGCTAATATTCATGCCATAGCATTTTTTATTCTCATGTCCTGATTTGCCTCTTACATTATCAATATATTCAACCCTATGACCATTGTACGAATAGTCATGCTCTACCTGTCTTTTATTTCTGTTATTTGAATTTAAATAATCCGAATGTTGGACATAATTACTATATTCATACTTATTTTCACTAGCTGAATTATTTATACTTGTTTTATCTTCGTAGAAATAGGACGAACGTGCCAACGTGTTACAATCTGAACTTCTGTCTTTTAGATCACTCAACTTGAAAATAATACTTTTTAACGCGGTAAAATCCATATCACGGCTTGACAACATATAATAATATTTGTCATAAGATGGATGCAAACCATTCTCAAAATAGTCTCTGAACTGATCAAAATTAATTTCATCATATATTTCTTCAAACATTGAAAGTAAGCCAAAGTAATAGTGTTTAATATCTTCGTTTGCATCCTGCTTACGTGAGCGCAATTTGGATTTTAGTTTTCTTATTGCTATATCACCGCCAAAATTTAAAATAAAATCTCTTTTCAGATCCGGCCAAGTTTTATGTAAATTATTTTTATTTTTCGCGTATTTTTCAAACCAAAAAACAGAAACGTGTTTTAGATAACACTGCAAATATCGAATTTTATATGCACAATCCCAACCATTTCTATCAGTAATTTTATCGTAGTTAGAAATAAAAGACACTGGACAATCGTACCTAGGGTCAAATGTAGGGGGTTCAACAAATTTAGGCAGAACTGGAAGTCTTTGAAATTCCATCATGAAAAATTTTAAAATAAAAGTTTAGCTTGTTTAAAAATAATTAGTTAGAGAGTTTATGACATTGAAATATATCAAGAAATATTTAAATATAGACAAAGCCATTGGCATTTGAATGAAATTTAAACGTTAGAAAAATAATAAACAAATGTGGATGATATATATATATATATATATATTTTACAGTTTATTAAATATAAATTTTGACTACAAGTTAGAAAGTAAATTACAATATTTGATAAAACTTACAAGTATACTATTTTTAATAACTAATAAAACTACTTCGGACTATAATATTTAAAATTTAGATAGATAGAATATTATAAAACATACCGGTATTTGCAGACGCAGACCCAAATTCAATAAAAACCAAAATTTTTTCTGCGAAAATCGGGCTTTTTTCCCAGAAAAGGTATTTTTTGATTTATCAACAATCATTGTCAAGTTGACAATATACAGGGTGTTTTCTAATTAGTCTAAGAAATTGTGGTGTGATTCCTCATGTGTTCTTAAAACAATATTTATATAACCATTGGGTCTAAAGTACTTCCTTTCTGATCCACAGGCTGTTAAAAATTTAAAAAAATCGATATTTTGCCTAACATAAATGGTACACAACTGCTTTTTTAAAGAAAATATATTTTTTTCTTGACTGGCCATCCTTTTTCAACAAAATTGATCTTTTGAGTTTTTCTTGTTCATCAAACGGTTGCCGAGAAAAAAAATAAATATACTTATTAAGAGCCCGCCTTAAGCCGTTTTCTAACGATTTTTTATTTTTTTAGATTAATTAGGAAACACCCCGTATATGCATATCACAGGCAACTAAATAAACTAGTAACCTCTAAAAATTATTTTTCCTACCACTAGCGACATACCGTGTTTTAAGTAAGTACTAAATTATTTTATCAAAATTTCACCATATAAGTTTCCAGGCAATGGTCAAAATAAACGTATCTCCTAAAAACTTAAAAAAAATGCTTTTTTCAAACGTCAAAAAAATGTTAATTTTTGCGTCTATTTAAACAGGCCATTTCAGCTCCTAGGCATAAAAGTAAAACACTTTTACGCCTAAGCACCGAAGTACAAAAATATTTTATTAAATTGACATTAAATGTCAAATTCAACGAGTGTACCCCATTGTTGCTCGATATACAGGGTGTCCCAAAAATAAGTGCTAGTATTTTAAGGGGTGGTAGATCTGGTCAAAAGAAACATATCTTCTCTTTACCATTTTTAAAATAAATTAATAATATCCCAGTTATTTAACTTTGAAAATTATTTTTCTTTAGATTTTGATTGCCGCCGGCAGCAATCAGCCGCAAATATCAAGCAATTACCAGCATCTCGGTTTGTTCGACGCCCAGTGTTGACACATTATACATATGTGTCCCAGAAATAAGTGCAAGTAGTTTAAGGAGTGATAGATAAAGGAAACATATGTTCTCTTTATCGTTTTTCAAATAAGTTCAAAATAACGAAGTTATTTTACTTTGAAAATTCCACACCTGTAATTTTTAACCAATCAAAACGTGTTTTTTTGACAAATCACCATGGCAACGGATAAATTTTAGTGAAATTTTTTTCCTTGTGGGCACCCAACAGCGAATTATACTGGAAATTTTTTGACGTTTATAATGACAGAATATCTTTTTGAGAGTCTGGTTTTTATTTGTTTACATGATAATTTTGATACATTTCAATTACAAAGCTGAGGTGAAAGTTTGTAAACTGCTTCCATACGCTTGACTTCGATTTCCTAGTATTCGCGGGTGTCAACTGCTTAATCTCCTGGTGAATATTTTCTTTGCTTTCATGACCAAAGCGAAACATTTTTTTAAGCCCTGCCGCTTGACAGCTTCAAAACTGAAATAGTTTTTATGTTTGGGTGTCACTTAGTTATCATAGTAACTAAATAATCAGTTCGATCAAAAAACGAAAAATACATTTTAATTATTTGATTATCAAACACAATTTGGTGTGGAATTTTCTTACCGAATACCACACTAGGTCAAATTAAATCCGGACATTTTTTCTCGCTCATGAATACTTTTAGAAAATTATATATAATTATATTATATATAATATTCATGAGCTCGAAAAAATTTCCGGAAATAATTTGACCTCTAGTGGTATTACTAGTGAAAATTTCAAAAAAATAATTTTTCTAAAATTTTGAGAACGACTGAATCTTTTCTGGATTTTCTTTCTGGTAAATATAATCTAATACATATATTGCCATATTATCAAGAAATTATGTTTTTTAACTAAAAACTAAAAAAAATTCCAAAAATGTTTACAAAAAATTTTGAATTTTCAAAAAAAAAATTTCGCAAAGAAAACCTCATAGGCGTGTTTCTGGGGTTGAACTATACTACTAGTTAAAATACTTGTACTTATTTCTGGAACACCCTGTATATGTGGATTCACAATTTATAAATATGATGTGGAGAAACTGAAGACCAGATTGTGGTAGAAACGTTTTTACAACTAAATTATTAGAAAAATATAACAGAGTTCAAGAAAAACTAAGCTAAATTTAATTTAATTATATACCCAAATAATTCCTACTTTTAGACGTACGATATTCTTATACAGTTTAATCCCTACAGCTCAAGAGAGCACACGCTGACATATTCTATCATATATCCCTTGCGATATTACCTCTAAGGAGTGAATTTCCGGAGATAAGTTTTTCGCAAAACTCATCCTTCAACCAAACGTTCTCGATTTAATTATTCAGGATAAAAGCCCTTGACTTTCGAGCTCTCGACATCGAGTTATTAAATCCCGAACATTTTCCAAGTTAAATTCTACAAAATACCACTTACGTAAAGTTTTCAAGTAAAACACAAACTTTTCTATTATAACATGTACATAACAAAATACATCCTTGGTACTTAAAACTTATTGCAGTATGACTTCGATTGTCGGTACACGTTTTTATCCGAATTGTCTGTATTCTGTCATTAATTTTTATTATATTTCTAAGTATCAAGAAAAATATACGCTGTAAAACTAAATTTTAAATAACTTAAAAACGATTAATTTTAGGTATTGAAATATGTAAATAGAAAAGTAACGAATTGAAAAACATTTTCACTGGTGAAATAAAAAAAAGTGGGTTTCTATTTGAAAATAATTATTTATGATAATTTTTAATATAGTAATAAGAACACTTTACTTTTTTTAAACAGATACGTCTACAAGAAACCGTTGACGTTCTGTTAAAATGACATTATATCAAGTTAAACTTCAAAACGGTTTCTTGTAGACGTATCTGTTTTAAAAAAGTAAAGCGTTCTCGAATAGTTGAATTTAAATATTTTAAATAGTTTTTTTCTTTATTCTTTGTATTTTTTTTCTTCCCACGAAGGAAAGAGATAAACTTTCCGAAACGTTACGCATTTTTTTCTTTGTCAGGCAAGTAAACATAACTTCTGACAAGCAGTGTCCGTTTAGGTTTAACGCCAGAAGTGTTTACAAAAAATAACTTTTTTATTTTGTAGATTTTCTTGCAGTGCAGTGGCCAAATACCCATAAAGGATTTTTTTTTGGAGAAATTTACCATTCTTCTAACATCTATCTTTTTGTTTCCCTGTTATTTTTTCTGGAAATTAATATTTCAAAAGATCCCGAACCAGGACAGCACACGCGTCCAATAATTTGACAGGTATCGGGGCAAGAAATTTCGAATATTAAAAAATTGTATGTTTCTACCTGAAGCAAAAAGTCATGTTTTATTTCGGGATATTCTTAAGAAGTTTAGGAAACGACGGGTAGTTACATCATCCTTCAGTCGGATGTAGGCTAAGGGTTCTCTCCTGAGGCGCTTGGGTAGGTAATCTAAAATGACAGATCCCATTATTTACAGAAAAACAACACCGCCGAAGTAGAAAACCCTGTAAGAAAAGGAAGCGGAAAGTAATGTTATCTGCCCCTAAAAATTCAGCTTGTTGTTATGATGCAATATATTACGTTTCCTCTTATATCCTTTGAAACGGCATACAAAATAGAAATAAAGCTACTTATGTTTAAAACGGATTCTTTTCTTCTTACGTTACTGAAAATTGCTTTTTTATTCATTAAGCCAAATTAGAATCATATGTTTGAAGATTTAGACATAAGAGCGCTTATTTTCAAAATTAATCTTTCTTATGCGTCGATATAGAAAAATTAAGTTAATATTACGGTAAAAAAATTAATATCAAAGATACTATAACATATATTTGAAGTTCTAAGATACTTACAACCCAGAAAGTTGAAAAATTTCATATTAATAGCTTTAATATATAAAAGAATATTTGCTTTCTTTCGAAGAAATATACTTAAAGTAGTAATTCCCAATTTAAGTGATGGATAAGAAAAGATTCTTTCCAAGTTGTAAATTTTTTGTTGACCACTCTGTCAGAAACTTGACAATCATAACCTGAACTGTTAAGAATAATATTTTATTTTGATATTGTCATTTATGAGACAAAATTAAAGTTTGTCTAACATTTCTCTGATTGCAAGTAATTGAAACACCCTGTTCAAGAATTTTTATTTGACAATTATTTGTTAACCTTGTCCTTACGGTCCTCTTGTTAGTTATTAACTAACAGACCTTACAAGTGATATTGAACAAAACGCAGTTTCAATTAAAATCTTTGACTTTGGTCTTTCCGATTTCATTTCCCTGATCTCTATGTTACTTTACTATGAAAAAATATCGGGACTTTACAAATTCTATTTCTCCACTTTTTAATTCTCTTTTCCTAATACTTCGTTACGTAGTGCTTTTTCGACTAAAAGGTAATTAACTTTGGCTCTTAATGTTTGAACGTGATGAAATTTTTCGACTCTTCTTTTGTCTGCCGCACTGTAAATAAGGCTTTTTGTCCTCCGAAAATCCGCTTTCACATTCAGCTACATGTCCGGCGGCTACATCGCTAACCCAATGAAGTCTACCAAATTCAATGTAGATGAGACAGGCGGACGCAAATAAAACTTTTCCTGTTTTATTTGAAGTTCGAC